TTTTTCTCTTTTTTTTTTTTCTTTTTTTTTTTTGTTTTGTTTTTCGAAAACGGCAATGGGCGTCGATCGATTCTCTGTATTCGCGACCGAGAGATTCGGGGACGCGGGTCGCGCGCGTGTCACACATCATCTGCAAAGCAAAAAATCTAAAATCTCTTGGTTGGCACACAAAACGAAACGATGTGGCGTCACGCGGACTTCCGGCGCGGTGGCGCTCGGATCGGCCGCCATGACTTCGTTACAAGTATGAAAAATATTCCGGCTTGGTTTTTCTTTCTTTCCTTTCTGCTTCTTCTTCTTTTTCTTCTTCATCTTCACCTTCATCTTCTTTTTTTTATTTTTATTTCATTAAATACCGTTTAAAAAAGTTATTGCATCTGGGTATACCTATATTGTATAGGTACGTAACTTTTTCTTTTATCGATATATTGTACAAATATTGTTGTAAGTCGGTACAAACGTTATTGTAGAAAACATAACAACTCGTAGGTTCCTCTCGTTCTCAATCTTTCACTTTTGCTTGCGTGTTATTTTATTTCTCTTTTTTTCTCTCTCTTTCTTTCCTTTTTCAATCTCTCTCTCTTTTTTCTCGCTAATTTGGTTCATTCATGTACATTTTCTCTCTCTCTCTCTCTCTTTCTTTTCTTTCTCTCGCTCTTCCTCTCTTCCTTTCTCTCTTTTTTTTCTCTCTCACTCTCATTAATTCTCGTACGCTCGCTCTTTCTCTCGTTCCCTTTCACTCATTTTATGTATTTTATCGTTACGGAAAGCTTAGTTAAGTGTTATACAATCTGTATTTAGTACTATATGCGAGATTCCGATCTACAGGGTGGCTTTCAAGGTATTTGAACACTGCATTGCTCGTGTTGTCTCGTACGTTCCTCTGTGTCTATTATCTTGTATACCACGTGTTTCTGAGCGATTTGTGTATATATATATATATACGTATATATGTATATATGTATATATATATATACACGTGTAAATGTGTATAGAAGTGTATACGCGTGTTTCTGTGTGCGGGTATCCGGAGCAAACGAGAAAGAACGAACCGAGGAGTGAATGGGGCGATCGAGGCTCGTCGAAAGGAACCAGAAGAGGCGATTGTCGTCTTCGTTAGGTCCGTACAAAAGAATGGATGAGAATTGGAGAAAGAATGCATGACATTTAGAATTCTTTCGAATCGATTCGAATCGTTTGTAAGGTATTCCAAGAAGCTAAGAAGTATTACGAGGAGAGT